AATAAAAAAAATGCTTTAGCAATCATACAAGAGCACTGTAACTTGACAATTTTATCTTCCAAACATCCTTACTTCAGTCTATATTTTTTGGTATTATATACTGAGGATGACTTAAAAGGATTTGATAACCATTCTGAAACATGTATATTTTCTTTATACAGTATATAGCTTTTAATAGAAAACTTTCCTATATATGATCTTTTCAGCATTCTAAATTTTACTTATCTAATAAATTAAAGTAAAAAATAGGATCTGATCAGTAGGTTGTATATGTATAGGCATGCTTTGTTCATGTAATTCCATTTGTGTGATTTCATGTTCTGTTTTTGCTGTTGTTGGTATGTTATTTGGTATCTACTGTTTGAGTGACCAATATCAATACTAAGGTGGTCAAAACTAAAATACTGCATTTAGTCAGAGTATTCAATATTATTAAAGACCTTTATATGTCAGTATTATTTTGTAGTGCCCTACAAAATCCTAGCAGTACAAAAGCCCTTCTTATTATACAAACTCTAATTTAATAAGGTTCTATTTAATTAGTCCAGAATTCAAATGCACATTCATGCCAGATATTGCAACCACATGGGAGATAGGAGGAAAGATATTTGAAACACTTCCATGGGAAACAATCTTTTGGGTAGCTCTCTGAAAGTATCAATACAGGGACCCAAACTACTTCACACACTATCCACAAAATAGATGAGGTATGAAGGAAATCTTGTGTTTAACATGACCTTTGGCTGTACTTTCACTTGTCATAACTATAAAGGAGGTACTCTCAGAGCCAACACATAAGCTATGTTATAGTCTTACAATTATAGAGGTAGGTAGTTCAAGAAGTGCTTCAGACTATAAAAAACTCCAGGCAGAATATATGAAAACTCTTACTTTTGTTACTAAGCACAATAGGCCTTTCTGAACAAAAAGAGTTCTGATATTATACATATGAATGACTAAGAATGGCTGCATGAGAATTTTTCTTTTTAATTTACATTCAAATACAAATATGCCAGTGTGGTTACCTAGTTCAACTTAACAAATCATCCATAACCTAAGTGCAAATTAACTAGAAATTTAATTTAATAATCCAATTATGACTTTAATAATGTAATATGCTATGTTAGATAAGTACATGTCAAGGGGAAACTGAAAAGAAAACTACACACACACTCACACACACCCCAAAAGAAACCTTTAATCAACTCTTTTCTAGGTATTCTTATTTTTACACACAGAAATTCACCAAGGAAAAACAGTTGTTTTCAAAAATGTTTTGGCAAAGCTGTCAACTTATCAATATATATAACATGTAAAATGGTTTTTTAAGGGAAAAAAAGACCACTGATTCATCCAACATAAAATTATAAATTCCTAAGGTATAACAAATAGGATCTGTTTTCAGTACAATGTCAAATATATCATCAGAGTACTTTTAAAAAATAGAATATTTATAAGGTAAGACAAGCACAAAAAATCCTTGTATGATATGAAGAAAAACTTCAGAATTATCTACTATATTATAACCAACTTTATCATACTTATCTTTTTCTTCCCAATAGTAACACCTCTCTATTTTCACCTTGAAAATAGGTTCCAAAAGTTGTAAAACATCAGTCATGCTTTATAAAAGTCATAGTCACAAACTGCCTTGCTTGGCTATCAAAAACATATAATGGAAGTTAGTTTTATCATACAACAATACATTTTTAAAGATACTGCATGTGAATTAAAATTCCTCTTAGAAATATATTATATAAGACTATTAGAAATTATTCAATAGGAATTTGCAGTATCACTATACTAGGGTGCACATGGTTCCCAATTTTGCTGAGATCCCACCTAGTTTGTACCTACTGCCCCTGCAGATTACAGCACACCCTCTCGCTCTCAACACTGTCCTGAATTGGACGGTAAATTATGTTCGTTCTAGGTATGACATTATTTTATGTTACCTAAATCAGGGGTTTTGAGAATTTTCTAATATAACATTAATTATTTGAAAAATCTAACTTACAACTTTGAGTGATTCACACAGTACCCTACCATTCCTTCAGATGCAGTTACTTATGGCACTCAAGCAACATCACCCAAACTCTGCTGCTGGTCTAACTCTAACTCAACTGTTTTCTGATGTTCTTGGTGTTTCAGACCCAGGGTGAAGGTTTCCCTTTATCCGCAGGTAGTAAACAGGGTGGGAAAGATCTTTTTCCTCAGCCTCCCACCAAATTCACGGTTTTCCTTATTCTCTGAGGTTCCACAAAGTCTTTTAAATGGTTACATTTAAGTGTTTAAAATTATAATTGGTTATTTTCTTGTCCTTGTTATGCACATATTTAAACATTAAAATGTGTATTTAAACACTATATTGAATTGATTTAATAGTATGTTTGTAAACATTTCTATAAAAGCTTAGAATCATTCTTCTATATATATATATATATATATAAACCTGATAATAATACCATTATTCTAATAAGAAAATCAGATTTGACCTGACAGAGCCCTCTAAATGATCTTGGGCTTAAAAGCCAAAAGATCTAATCTTACATATCTACCAGGTGAACGTATAATCTCTCTTAGGCACAATTCTTCTTCAGTATATAATTCCAGTCCACTATATACAAGCTTACAAGAGGAATTAAAATCAGAAAATTCAAGAAGCTCAAGTACTGCCTACTGTTCAAAAAAGATGACCATGTGTTATGCAAAGTGAAGACAGTTAGCAAATTCAGCCTATCAGAGATAAATAACTTTAAAGAATAAATAAATAAAACAACTCTGGTGAAAACCTACATTATACCAACTACACATACAAAACTGTCATGGGTAAGAAAGACCCTTGAGAATCAAACTGAGTGAGTCCTAATCCCAGCACCATCACTCACTATTAGCTGAGTGGCAAGCATCTCTAAGTCTTTGTTTCCTCACTTGTAAAATGAAGATAATAACGGTAGTTATCTCACTGTGAAGAGTAACAACAGTCCATTAAAAGATATGAGCATGGCATTTGCACAGAGTAAGGGCTCAATAAATACTAGCTATTATTACAATAATCTCCATTAATGTCTCCTTTCAAAAACAAGTCCTGAAAATTTATTTTGATGTTAGGGGGAAAATTCACATGTATGTGCATATGTGTGCTCACACATATGTGTATCTTCCTAGATGACAAAGGTAGTAGCTCAAAAATACTTCCTAATAGTGTACACTGGAAATATTATCATGACAATTAATATAGATCTTATTCAACAGTGCAAAGGAAGCTTTTTTCTTCTAAAGAAGCCCACATCAGCATACTGAAGCACATTTTAAAATAAAATTCCATATCTAACAATATCTATGGTTGTTCATCTCCAGAATGGAAAAGTAACTGATATATACAGTTACATTTTTAAACCCATGTACACAAATCAAAAGAAACCACTTTCCTTTATGTCAATTATATGAAGATACCAAAGCAATATTCTAATTAAACATTCATATAGTCAATATTTCAAAACAAGAAATTTGAATATAAATATGCACAATTTACAATTCTATAGTGAGACTTGTCTACAGAGGCCATTTTCACTGTATTTCAACAGTATCCTATGAGCAATGCACAACGCCACTTCTCTCTCAAACGCTGAAACTACGAAGTCCACAGTCGTTCACCGCAGGCAAACACCAAAGACCATGCTGTGCACATGACACTCTTTTACCCATACAAGCATTTTAACCTGTTCATGAAACCCAGTCAGCATGTGAGCCTGAACAAGACACTATCTCAAGAAACAGAGTCAGAGGCAGAAGATATACCTCATTTGGTTAAAAATAGAAACTTTACATACGAGAATTATTCTCTAAGGTAAGAGAAACTATAGCTTGCATTTATAAAGACCTTTGTCCATTTTAGTTCATTAAAATAAAGTGGTGTAAAACTTTCCATAAGAGATAAGCTTTGAAATAAATATATCACTAGGACTGACATAAAAATTTATATAAAGATAGTGCTGTTTTCCAAACCACATGTAACGGGGATTTAAAAACAAAGGTGATGTCAGTCAAATTTTTATCTCAGGGATCCAAATCTAAGTTGGACTTCATTTCTCTGAACTTTCCTAAAAATCTTCCAGGAGTAAAATTAGATTTGCCACTAAAATAAAATAACTAGGACTCCATTATCTATTCTAAAGAAAGTAAGAAATACATACCTGTCCTTTAGAGATACAAAGGATAATGTGGACAAACGTTTAGATGTTCAATCTCAGTTGACAAACAATAGGCTATATCATTAATTTGTAAGTCACTCTAGAATGAGTATACACAAACACACATTCTATCACTGATAACCCTAAACAGGTAAATTTGGAGCTAAAGCATAAGTAAAATTTTATCTCTACCATAAATTACTTTAAAAAAAATCACGGGCATTGCAATGAATATACTTTTGCCTTAGAGCGAATACTTTAATTTTAAAGAACCACAAAGAAAAAAATCTAAACTAGTCAGTAACAATGCAGCGTCTAAAAGCAATAAACTCAAAATTAAGTTATAAATAATTTAAAGCATGTCATGAAGATGTATTAATAATTCATTAGATAAATAATTTACTAAATAATCAAATAAATAAATAATGAAATACATAAATAAATCAGCAAATAAATAATTCCGCAAAATAACCTAAACAATAAGTCACCCAAACAAATCAGAAGCCTACAAACTCCAATGATTTTCTGGATTCTGATAGTTTTAAATAAGCAAATGTGCATAAACCAGATCAACCCTTGTTAGAATTAGAAATATTTTTCAAAGCTATTGGTAAAATCATCTCAATACATAAGAACATATTTTCAATTTTTAAGAGACTGCATAGGATTACTTCCTATAAATTATTAACATGATTATAATATATCCTTCTCTATATTTTACTTATAATATCTTTGCCTAACATATTTTCCCTCCAAACATTGAACACTTATTCTTAACTTACACTCCTTTATCAAAGCAACACTTACAGTATGATAGTGCTACAGCCAGCCATTGATCATTTTCTTTTTAAGAAAGTCTTCTTCATTCACAAAATCTTCCTTCACCAATGCTTTAAAAATTTTCTGCAGGGGTAGAACAGTAAGAATAACCTTAATTATTACAGATGGCACTTCATTCACTAGGACACGATGCTTTATAATTCTATAAAGTAGTAATGGGATATGGACATTATTAGTTGAAAACTATGTCAAGTCTTTGTAAGTCTTGAATGGACTAAGTACAAGCTGACAAAGGCCAGCTTCCTCTACTCCAGCTGACACGCAAGCTGTTAAAATTGGCGGGATTTCAGACATGAAGACAAAAACTTTGAAGGACAAAGTAACTGGCTGACATCTAATGCTATCCTCAATTTGAGAAGTTCAACGTCCTTGAAAGAACCCATGAGATCATTTAGTTGTTATAAGTTGAATGTAGTGACAATATATTTAGAGCACCACAAAGAGTCAAAATACAACTGACCTCATAAATCAATCTTCATTGAACATTTATTTGAACTTTTTAACCATCCACGGTATAATACTCTGGAAATCCATAACCATTAGATCCCAAACTAATGGGATCTAACTAATGATTAGTTTCCCCCAAAGAAATAAGACCTTTGTAATGAGTATTTGACACATTTAAGAGAATAAATCCAAACGATATATCACATTTGAAGAGAAGGACCTTAAAGTCAATCAAAATTATTTTATATAATTTCTCTCAATGAAATCGCAAAACAACCTTTCAAGTTAGGTAATATTTTACGTTTTTTTACAGCAAACAACTAGAACAGGAACAGAACCACAGAAATGGTGATCACGTGGAGAGTTATCAACAGGGGAGAGGGAGAGGGGGAAAAGGTACCGAGAATAAGTGGCATAGATAGGTGGAAAATAGACAGGGGGAAGGTAAGAATAGTATGGGAAATGTAGAAGCCAAAGAACTTATATGTATGACCCATGGACATCAACTAAAGGGGGGGAATATGGGTGGAAGGGGGTGTGCAGGGTGGAAGGGAGCTAAGGGGAGAAAATGGGACAACTGTAATAGCATAATCAATAAAATATACTGAAAAAAAAAAAAGAAAACCGAGGCTCAGTAAGACTATGCATATTGCCGAAGATCCACAGTGGCAGGGGAGAGTCTAACTTTGTCTATACCAATTTCCTGTGAAGGTTTATTCAATTAGAGACCTACATCTGAGTCCAACCTGAAACATACAGCAAACCCTAGGGCAATGTAAATGGGTTACAGCAATGGTTCTCAACTAGGGGCTATTTGCCCACCCCCAGGGACATTTGGCAATGTCTGGAGACACTAATGGTTGTCACAACCAGGGAATATTATGGGCACCTAGTGGGTAGAGATCAAGGATGGAAACATCTTCAATGCACAGGACAGACTCTCAACAACAAAGAATTATCTGGCCTAAACCATTAATAGTGTTGAGGATGGAAAACCCTCGATCAGAATAAAATGATTGATGATTGTTGTAGTGTATGGATTTCCTATTATAAAATGATATAGATTTGGTCCGGGGAGTCAAGTTTCTTTAATATGTATAACATTATATGCAGTGGAATACCCTAGATGAAAATGTGTACCCTCGGAAAAATAGGTATATGGAGACTCTATGTACTTTCTGCTCAATTATTCCATAAATCTAAAACTGCTCAAAAAAAGGCTATTTTTTAAAAAATAGTATCCTTTACTCATTTAAGTTACGAATAACTTCCTTAGAATCAATACTAAAACATAAATAAAATTAAAAAACATTTTTATAACAGTAGATTCATCAAAATTCTTCCAATAAAGTTAATATGAGAGCATTAAAAGTCATGTTTATGAGTTAACCTCAGCAAAGTAACTAGCCAAGGTATTTAATAATAGGGTTTTAAGGGATTATTCTGATAAAATATAATATGATATATAATCCTCAATGGTTTGCAAAACTGGGGGGTGAGGAGGGCTCGCCTAAAAGCTATCAAGTGTTTTCTGAAAGAATATTTGTGATAATAAAAGCACTTAAGAAAAATACAGCAATATAATTATCAAAGAGCCCCTGAAATTATGTATCATTTTAAGTGCTTTCTTTTCAATACCAATTAATCTCTCTCCAGTCTCAAAGTAGATTTTGGTTTCAACCTGGATCTAGAATCTATCATGACATAATGCATGTTTCTTTATACTTGACCTATCACATTACTACACACGCCATTAAACAATGGTATCCTTAATCAGACAGGATTAGGTCATATCCTTCCCCAGCCAAAAAAGAAAATTTAAATAACAATAGTATAATAACTTAAGAGAGGAAGAAACAAAAGGAGAGAAATTCTGTCATGCAAACATCCGGAAGTAGACAATCAAAGGCTGATGTGGCAGCTCCAATATCAGGGGTCCAAGTTCCTTACATCCTTTTGCTACTCCACATACTGTTCTATTTAAAGTCAGCTCAGATTCCAAGAAGGTTACGGGAACTCCAGCTAATACATCCACATCGCAGGCAGCGGAAAGAAAAGGGAAAGAAAGGCCCACCCTGCTCTTTTCTAATATTCATATTTCAGCTTACAGCTTATAAACCAGAACTTGGTGTTTTGATCACACCTAAACACTTGGAAGGATAGGAAATGTAGTCTCCAACACTGGTGATAATGGCCAGGTATAAAATTCAAGCTCTTTTTACTAGGGAAGACAGTAGAATGAATTTTGCAGGGCAAAATATAAGAGCCAGACTGCAGCAGAGGTCACAACTCTTCGGAAAAAATGGGAGATGTAGTCAAAATTTTTCCTGGGATTGCTTCACTGTAAATGATATATATTATGCACATTCGTGTGTGTGTTTGTGTGTGCACACATATGAAAGAAAACCTAAATGTTTAACAACAGGTGAATGCTTAAATAAATGTGGAGATAATCTCAGAATAGAATACTGTGTAGTCACTTAATATCCCTTTCAAGAACTTTCCTGATAAAAAGTATTAATAATGCTAAATGAAAAAGAATGAGCTATAAAACATTTCATATAAAATAACCCATTCTATGTAAATAGACATATATAAAAAATATACATATGGAGAAATGTTCATAATATTAAATGAAAAGGACAGGCCATAAAGTATTTCATATCAAAGAACCCATTTTATATAACTATGCATACATATAAACACACATATATACACACAGTATATATTTGCGCAGACATCATATTTCTAAAGCTAGAGAGAGAGACTCAGACCATATAAAAATCAAGAAAATAGTATTAACCTAAACAAAAATAGTGGTTTAGGCTTTGGGATCTGTAATTACCTTTCACTTTCCCCATACTTTTCATTACTTTCTCATTTTTCTACAATGAACACATTATGCTTATGATTATTTTTCATGCACATTTGGCCTAATGAGGAAAACCACCTTATAAAAAGTAGATTCAAGCTTCACTTTATTACATGGAATTTGCTGATGATTTTTTTAAAGTTGGAGAGAAATCTATAACTGAGCTGTATCTTTCCCAACTGGTACAAAAAATACATGTTTCCCCTTAGTTGGTAGTAAGAAGCTCACTTCTCTATGCCCAACTTGTTTTCAACTTACTAACATACACATATCACATTTGTCAGCTTTCCACAAGTCACTCCTAACCAGATGCTACATCCATCATTCCTAACAATTTACTTCGACAGACTGATTACTTTGCTCATCTCACTCTGTAGAACTAATCATTCCTACTTCATGCTTCTACAAATCCTTCCATTTTCTGTATTTCTCAATCTATTTTTTTATTTCTATTCTACTGCACATTTTTCTGGTTACTTAATAAAGTGCAATAGATACATCTACTGGAAATTACATCTTTCTTATAACTGTCTTATACTGTCTTGAATTTCCCGTTATTACTGGGTATACGTACTACCATTACATTGGTATTAATTCTATTGTCTGCAAGTCTCATTATCATTAATAGAATATTAGAATTTAGAATGCCTTCAAAGTTCTCCACATTTTCTAGAATGAATCAATTTTCCAAACCCCCACTGCTACCATATAAAAATGGAAAAATAAGAAAAAGAGCAAGCAATTCATATATTTAGAACTAATAACAAGTATATAGGGTTGACCAAAATAGCAAACAAAAACATCTAGAACTTGGGAAAATCAGACACACAAACAAACACAGCAGAGAGGGAGAGAAAGAAATGCATAACCAAATGTAATAAGTGGCAAGTTTACAAGCCAGGCAGGATGTACAGAAAACCCAGATAGTAAGAGCCACAGTCGGGAATAATCAGACAAGATCTTCAACTGAGACCAAAGTTACATAGTGCTAGAACAGTGGCTTTCAACCATGGAAGATTTTGCCCCCTCCGCCCAAAGGGATATTTGGCAATGTCTGTGGTGTCACAAATGGAAGGTGCTATTTACATCAAGTGGGTAGGTGGCAGGGATACTACTAACATCCCACAATGCACAGAACAGCCCCCTCAGCAAAGATGAATTATTCAACCCAAAATGTCAACAGTGCTAGAAGGAGCAGTTGAAGTCAAAAGAAGAGACAGCACTTAAACAGGTCAAAATGACATGATTAAACAAATGGTGGCTACACCACATGTCTTTAATAAACCAGAATTTGGCCAATGGAAGAACAGCAGGAAACAAGACTAGAAAACATAACTGCATGCAGATTGTGACGGGCCCACACCAGACATCTGTTAGACCAAAGAGATAAAGAAATTAGTGTATTATAATAACAAATATAAGAGAACTGAGGCACAAAATAGCAACAGATTTGCTAAAACTGAAGTACAGAGGGAAGGGAACACTGATCTCCAGCAGTATGACAGACTAGATACCTTAATATTAGATCCAACTTTTAAAATTTAGTGGGAAAATGCACTTTCATGAACTGTTTAGACAGCAAGTGAGTCCAGTATCCACATAAGCTCTAACAAAGTGAAGTAGAATAGGCAAACCCAGAAACCAGATTTCACCCTGAGGGCATGTGCCTATCACCAGCGAAATTTAGCTTTCCTTTTGACATCTACACAAGGAAAGCTCAGGAGGTAGACTCTAAAGTCTATCA